CATAAAATACAGATTTACGAATTTTAGCACATTTAATGTTACTGGTTGCTGTCTCGCCAGTGGTCAATACAGCTTCCTTAATTTGTCCCATCACCAAAGTGCTTGTTGTTCTTATGTTTCTATATAGATCATCATCCACTGGAAATTCTTGAAATTATAAATAAATATTTTTTTTCTTTTAATTATTTGTGGAGATCAATTATCTCTTCACTGTAACATTTTTAAATGTGCTCTCTTAATTTAGAAGTTTAGCTTAATTTTCCACCTTAAAAAATTCTAAAATTCACACAAACTTTCATTGTATTGTAATGATTATTTCCTTTAAATTTATTGTCTTTGTGGGAGTTTAAAATCAATTTTATACTGTTCTGAGGAATGCATTTCTATTCTTCATTACTTTCTTTAAGAAGAAAATTACTGGATGATTTATTCTGTTCACACTGAAATATTCTGTTCACATTTGTACATATTCAAACATGCTGCATTAACCTACAAGTAATACATTCAGTGTATTGAGTGTATACCAGTGGTATTTTCCAGTTTTGATAAGTTGATATATTTATAAAAAAAGAATTTTTGGAATGTTTTCAGATAGTTAAAATCTTAGACAACTCAGAAGACTGTCTTTCCCAAACTATTCCAAAATATCCTTTGGAGAAAATATTTCTGTATGCATATCATGACTAAATATTCCCGTTTTTGCCTGTGTACAATATAAAATAAATTTTAGTTAAAAGGAAAATATTATTTTTCCTCACAGTTTTCATACATGTAGTGTGAAGAAGAAATGTCTATGCTTACTGGAGGAGATGCTGATTCAATAACTAAAGAACAAAAACTCAGAGAGATGAGGCAGTGGCAGGGTTTGAGGCCCAGGGAAGAAGCTGCCTTACAGATTGCTTCATCTCAGCAGATGTAAGGCTACCTGGTAAACACAGATCACTATCTTGCAAAGTGTTGACTTTCAAGAGCATAAACTGAACCCTCTTTGCATTCTTAAAAGTAAAATAACACCATTTCTCTGAAATTTCTTTTGATGTTTTTTATTTCTATCAATGTGCAAATTTGAAAAATGAATTATATGCTACTGGATTTACCAAGGTAAGTTCATTAAATGCAATATATAACTTTGGTATCAAAAGTAAGCCATAAAGTTCATAAATTTACTAGTTGATGCCAAGTAGTAATTGCTATTCTTATTTACTTTGTCAGGAGGTACGTATTCAGTAAGATTTCTGTTTGAATAAATTTTAGCTGTAAAATCCACACTTGGATGTAGAGGCTTGATCTCAGCCTTCAGGTTCAGGCATGCTGCACATTTATACAACAAAAAAGACTGAAAAGCTGGAGTTGGCTGTGAAACTTGCTACATAATATTGACATTAATTCCATCAAACCTCTGGTAAAGAATTGATACAAATTCATAACTACATTCTTTGGAAATAAAGTTATGTATAAGAAAAATGGAGAAAAAATCAAATTTGAAAAAATTACAGTGTTTTATTATTTTAATCTATAATTTCAACTTGAATTAAGACATTTATTCAATATACTGTTTTGCTGGAAATATAATGAAAAGGAAATAATATTGTGCTTTACCTATTGCATAAAATACCTCTTTGAGTAGTCTTACTCAGGGAGTAGTCATTTTACAGGTTAAAAAGAACATGAGAGTATTTCAGCAACCCGTTTACTGTGATTTGAAAGTGTACAGTTCAGCAATGTTGCCAACTACAAATTTGAATGTTCACCTTTGCAGTATATAAGTCTTCTGAATGTGAATGTCCAATTAATTACTTTTGTCTACATAATATCTATAAATTTTATATATATAATGAAGGGATAATGGTATCAAAAATAAAAAAAATACATTTACTGTTCTGTGCCATGATATGAAAATGTTGCTTCCTGTCGCTCCAAAATGCTGACTGTATGTCTCAATAATTTTGGCATTTGAAGTTTCCTCATTCTCTGCAATCTATGAAAGGTATTATTCTAAACATATGTAAATGTAATTATCTGGGATTAGATTATAAATCATTTTACTTTTTATATTTTTAGATCAACAATAAAACCAATACATGATGTTTCAAAGACATAAAATTTTTCTTAATATATAACAACCTTGTAAATTTGAAACCAATTTAATAACCATTGTTACTACATTACTGTTAAATAAGTCAAATATTTAATTCCAAATCTTCTATGAAATTTTCCAATCGTAAAGAAAACTTCATATAAAACATATCCTTGTATGAGAGTAGAAATTAAATTCATGAGCTGTATAAAATTTTTTGATCAATGAAAGACCAACATATGACAATAGTCCCATAAGTTTAAAATGGATTTATAAATTTCTTATTTGTAGTGACACCATAGTCATCATGGCATCTTAGTGCATTGCATTACTCAAGAAATTTGGTGATGCTGGCATACACAAAGTGACAGTCCTATAAAAATCTGCACATAGTGCAGTACAAATTCTTAACAAGGATAATGAACAGCTATGCTGATGGTTAATGTATTTTCTATAGAATTCTTTGGTCATCCCTTTAATATTTATTTCTACGGCAAGACAGTCTCATATTGTTCTTTCAAAAGCGTTCAGGAAGAGGACTTTACTGTCAGAAGGTAGCAGCACTCCATGTGCGTTACAGGCCCTGAGGACCTTCTTGTGATGTAAGGTGATGAAACTATCCTCACCCTATGCCGGCTTAAACTAATGTGTATTACTTTTAATAAACAGGCAAAAGGTAACGATGAAAAAGGAAAAGGAGTTAGAGTCAGAATATAAAGAAAACCAATATTTTTTTCAGTTCTACAATGTGTTTGTCTTTCAAGCAATATGTTACAAGTCATTTTTTAAAAATTAAACCTTTAAAGTAAAAATGTTACGAAAAGGTAAAATTATCAGTACCTAAGAAAGATTTGCTTTTATCCATTTGGTGCAGCCTGAGAGTCCCATTCCCATAAAGTTTAAACTGGTAAACAGTCCCACCCTGAGATTTCACAGTCACCCTCTGCTCACCTGCTGATACCCTCAGAGCAGCTTCCAGGCCTGGGAGTTCCATTCACGGCAAGAGATCTTTACAAGTGGATCAGATTTACCTTATACCTTGTGTTGTACTGCAGCTTTTCCTATGTTTACATGCATCCAGATACATAAAATTTAACCACTGTGTGGTAATATCCACACTACTCCAGAGAGCATCATGCCAAAGAGATGCTAACCGAGGAGCAATGGCCTATGCAATAGAGCCTATTTGTGTGGTAGATTACAGCATGATGATCTGTGAAAAATATCCTTCAGTTTTCACACAATCACAAAGTCAAATACTGTGGTTTCCTTGGAACATAGCACCATCATTAAGCAATTCTAGACTCAATGTGTAAAGCTTTTCATTAACTCCTGGAGATTAAATGATATATCCCAAAAGATGATTTAAACCTTGCTTTCCTATTGTCTTTACTAAGATAACAGATATGGAATGGAAAGCAAGATAGGAATGGTTAATATACTTGATTGCAGTGAGCTGTATTAGTATTTTATGAAAAAATTCTGCTTACATTTATATATTTATTCCTACTATTTAAACTTTAGTTTCTAAAAATAACAGTGTGGTATTCCCTTTATGTCTACTGCTTTTATGATTATATATATTATATATGTTTTTCTAATAGGGAATTTTTTTCCTGATCTACTAGGAACTTTTTATGCATAACAATAATGCTGTTTCTTATGAATGAATTTCCTGTCTCCGTGATGTCTGGTTCACATAGAGAAAGCTTCACTCTCACACAGAGAAGAGTCTGCTGTTTGAAAGAACTGAACTCCTAAAGAAATGGAGCCTTTGGATTGTTAAATTGTTTGATTTATACCAATTGTAGACTATTTGGAGAAAAACAAAAACATTCTTTAAAAAAACTTAAGATATCTTGATCAGATGGTTTTTAAACTTGAATTGTGATAGAAAGGAGTTATATTATTTATTCTCTCAAAACTCGTGAAAGAGTAGAAAGTCTTGATTAAATAGCAGTTTTCAAGTATGAATTTAATACTTTATAATTATTTGTTTAAAAATGCAGTGAATCTGATATTGTGCTAAAACTTTAGACATAGTATTGTCAGCTAAACATCAGTTTGTTGACATATTTGGAGCCTAGAAAGCTTAAATATTATGCTCAGAAAGTATAGCTAGAAATGACAATAAATACATAATAGAAATGAATCTGAGTCTCCTAAATCTAAGTACTAACATGTCTCCCACATACCGTGCCAGCTGTAGACAGTCAGAATCAAAATACATAACAATTAGTTTATGGTAAAATTAGATACTGTGATAGATTGATTAGTATTACTAGCAGTCAAAATGATTTTAAGTATAATCAACAAGTAAGAGATAAAATTAAAAGAAAGTATGAGCTGCAACTCATAGACAGGAAATAAATGAACAAATTTCTCTCTATATGCATATATTATATAATATACAAAATATAAATATAGATACAGGGCCTGGTAGAACGTACCTGTAGCTTCAGAATTCTGGGAACTTAGGAAGGAGCACTGAAAGTTCAAACCCACTGTAGGCAACTTAGAATCTTATCTCAAATTAAAAAGATGCAAAAACACCTGGGATATACCTTGGCTCAGTGAAAAAGTCCTGCTTCAATTCCCAGTATAATACATACCTACATACATAGTTAATCAATAAATAAATAAATAAAAGATTGCATCCAGCAGATTAAAAAGGTCTGAGAGAAATCAATCTCAAGTAGTGTAAGATAAAGATTATTAAAAGGCATTTTGAAAAAAATAACTGTTTTTTATGAATGGATATATATTCTTTTATCTTTTAATTTCTCCACAAAAGTATTTATGGCTTGATATTTTGGATTATCTTATCAGGACCTTGGAGGGAACGTTCCATTAGCCTTCAGAAAAAACAAACCATATACATAGGGTCAAAGATGATTGTTTCTTGTGTTATGAGAACAATCTATTTTTTTTTTTGCCCATTAGGGATTTTTTCCAGTTATTCTGACATGACATACCCTGTAATACATGAAGTACATCCTTTAACCAACAGAAAAGGAAGCTGTACCAAATGAGCTGTGCAATTTCAAAAATTTCTTTGAATCCTGACACAATGGCTGTGCTTTAGAGTAATAGGATGTCAAACTTAAAGCAACATGGAAGACTGCTCTGACCAAGTAGATGTTTGGTTCTGAGTTTCCTAAGGCAGGCATTGTTTCAAGTGAATTCCACAGGAAATGTCCAGTCTCTTTCCTGCACGAGCAACTTTCCTACATGATCTACTGCTTCCTCTCTCATTCTCTAGGACAGGAAGTGGGGTCGCTGTCACTGTCAGGTCAGGCACTGTTCAACCAGTGAGTGGCCAGCTGCTCCTCGTTATGCCAGGGCTTCTGGAATACAGTCCAATCACCTTACTTGCTGAATGGATCATATGCAGTCGTGAAGCATGTACCATGAAAAAGCAAGTTTTTGAGAACTAAAATTCAGTGTATTCACAATTTTGAGTGCTGTAAGATGGTAGGACATTTAAACAAAAATTAATAAAAACAACATCCTACATAATTCTTGGCAAGGCATGAAGATGAGAAATAAACTTTCAATCACAAAAGGGATTTACCACCATGTAGGGACTGGGCTGCTTGGGAGTTGATGTGAAAATCAAATCTATTGAGCATCTATACCTGGTAACTGTAGAAACATGATAGAACAAAATAAAATACATCAATTTTTTTTCTTTCGAGAAAAATGGCTCCTAAGGGGCAGCTTGAGGTGAGTTTTTCTCCCATGGCCTTGCCTATTCAGCCATCCAGAGCTTGAACGTCCTATCATATGAGCAAGTGGCTATGAGCTGCCCATCAGAAGAAATGTCCAGACCCATGACTTTGTCTTCGTGGCCTGCCAGAGTCTTCAGTGAAGACCAGCCAGCCTGAGTGGGTCCAGATCTTGGCTGTGTTGTCATAGGCACCAGTGAGCAAGAAGTTCCCATGGATAGGCTCAAACTTGACCCCAGTCACTAAGTTCTGATGGGCAGGGATGGTAGAGATGCAACGCCGCTGTCGAAGGTCCCACACTTTGCAAGTATTGTCACCACTGCCAGTTGCAATGTGGTAGCCATTGGGGGAGAAACTTATTCCGTAGATATCCTTTAGGTGGCCTTCTAGGAACATGATGCAACATCCTGTGCGCAGGTCCCAAATTCGACCAAATGCATCCAGGCCCCCAGTGCCAGCCAAAGAACCATCTTGATGGAAGGCAATGTCATATACACCCATGTTATGACCCTCCTGATGCAGGATTTCCTCTTGAGCCTCCAAATCCCATAAGCGCCATGAACGATCATAGCAGGTGGTGCCCAGGAAACGTCCTGATGGGTGCCACATTATTCGGGCTACATGCATGGTATGGCCTTCAATATCTGCCACTGGTTCATCACTGTCAAGACTCCAGAGCTTCATAGACCCATCAGCAGCACAAGAGGCCAGGTTGACATCTTTCTGATCCAATGACACAGTGGACTTGGGATGAAATACAATTGCTCCTACATTTGTATTATGACCTCGAAGAGTGTGAAGGAGGTTACAATCTGGAACAGACCAGAGCTTGCAAAGCCCACTCCAACAAGCTGTGGCCAGCATTTTGGAATTGGGACTAAAGTGACAGTAGGAGATAGGCAGATCATCCCCAATTTGGCTGCAGAAATTATTCAAAGACCTGTGGGATTTGTGCAGCTCTTGCGTCTGGGATGTTCTAGCTGTCTCAGGAATCTCTTTATGGAGACGGGCCTCTTCCAAGCGTTTCATTGCCCTGGGCAGTGAATAATTAGCAATCCACAGTCTAGCCACCTTCAGGATGTTTGGTCCTTGATGGTACCAGGTTTGCTGATACTCTTCTTTGGACTTCTTAGATTTCTCATCATCTTTTTCTGTCTTTTTTAAGGCATCAGTACCAACCACTGAGAGAATATTTCTTAACCTTTCTCTTCTTTCAGCAGGGCCCTCTCCAAAAAGTGTGATGGGTTCCTCCAAGGGTCTGAGGCAAGCCTTGACTTCTGAGTCATCTGTGGAAACGTTGATTTGTCGAGCTCGCTTCCTTCTTTCAAACTCAGCCAATACTTCTGCCTGCCACTCACTGATGGATTCTTCAATTTCAAATACCTCTCCAGAAGTTATATTAATATTTCCTGCTTCAATGCCTGCTTTAAGTCCTCCTTTTCCCAAAATTCCAGACTCTCCCTTGGCAAGGCGTTCCCTTTCCTTGTCTTCCAAACTTCCATAATAGATGTGTGGTTTCTTCACAACAGGAGCAACGAAGTCATCAGGTGCTCTGGTTTTGGTTGCTGTGGAAGAGGCTCGCAAAGAAGCCATGCCGGGCTCTGGAGCCGGGAAACCTCTGAGAAAGCCTCCTCCTAAGTTTCAGACAGTCCACTGCCGAGAAGAACAATCTCAATAGCAAATTATTCCATAAAAGCTCTTACTTTATTGCAACATAATGTCCCATTTTTAAGAGGTGGAATATTTATCTTGTCTGTGAAACTGTTTATAATAACATAGAAAATGATCTCATTTCTATTATTTTATCAGGGCATACTAATTATATGGAATAATCAATTGCATTACAACATTTTTACACATGCAAATAACATTTGTATAATTTTAACTCTCTTATTTCACAGCCCTACTCTTCCATTTTCTGCTCCTCTGATCCTATTCATCTTCTGTAATAATAGTTTGTTTTCCTCTTTCATATTGAGATTTATCCTGTACATTCCACATATGAGAGTTATACCTTCTTTCTGTCTCTCACTCACTTCAGATATCATGATGACTAGCTATATCTATTTTCTTGCAAATTCCATAATTTTCACTTTTTTCTTTATGACTGAATAATGTCTCTATCTATCTATCTATCTATCTATCTATCTATCTAAATATATAAAACTTTTATATATCCATTAAGCTAGTCTTGATTTTAAGTCTGAATTCATAGCTTGGCTCTTTTAAATAATGTCATAATTGACATAGATATTTGTGGATTTTTATTATCTGTTCACTTATCTTCCTGTAAATATATGCCAAATTGTGGTACAGCTAAATTATATTGCAGTTCTATTTTTAGTTTTCTTTTTATTTTAAAGAGGATAAAACCAAGAGAAATAAAACACAATAAAAGCAGTCAAAATAAACCAGTGAAAGTGATACAGGACTTTAAAACAATATGAAATCAACAATAGTTACCATAATGCCTCTTGTTGTCTTCAAAATAGCTGCAAGTACTTTAGACATAATAAAAAATCAAACAGAACAGAATATTTTAGAAGCAATTAAAACAAAACAATAAATACAATAAAGGGCTTCAAAATAAGGCAAGAGTAAATCCAGAATGTTGATCATAATATATCTTGCTATCTTTGAAACAGCTGTGCATACCATCAGACGTAACAAAATCAGACCAAGTAGAACAGAACAAAACCTAACCCAACAAAACAATGAAAACAATACAGGACTTCAAAATAAGACAGTAGGAATCAATAGTGGCTACCACCCACAGAAGAAGATCTTTCTTAGATGTCACACTCATACCGCTATTCTCTGGACTTACGATCAGACCACTGGCCCTAGACCTGCAAAGTCAGTGAAATACCAAACACTACAAGCATAAAATTGCATTTCACCTCAACAACTATCATCAAAGCCTGTGTTCTTCTCAGCTAGTTGCTTATATGAGGACAGAGAGATTGGCTCTTTTTGCTTGCCATCACACATGCCGGACAGGGCTGAAATCTGGTTGTCACCCTGGCAATGGTGGCCTGCACATGGCGCTGGTTCACAGGAAGGGCTTGCTTTTTTGGTGATTCCTTGTTCTTTCCCTGCACTGTCCATGAATGGCCTCTATTTTTAGTGTCGGGGGAACTCTATTCTAATATCCATGATACTGTACATTTCCATCAGTAGTGTACAGAGTTCTTTTGTCTTTACATGCTTACAAGTATTTGTTGTATTTTGTATTCTTGATGGTAGTTATTCTGAATGGGATCATGTGGAATCTCAGAGTACTTTTATTTATATTTCTTTGATGGCTAAATATACTGAACTTTTATATCATATAATTATTAGCCATTTGCAATTATTTTTTTTTATTTTAAAGAGGATAAAATTAAACAGAGCAAAACAGATCATAAGGAAACAATTTTAAGAAACACAGATTTCAAAGAAAGACCGCTGGAGATCTTCACTGTCTATCACATCATATTTTGTTTTCTTCTAAATAGTTATCCACATCTTCACACACAGTGAATACATACTGAACATTATAATACTAAACTAATGAAAACAAGATAATGAAGGTCTTTTAGATCTTCAAGACCAGACAATAGAGAAGTCAACAATGACTGTCTCTCATTCTCTTTGAAATAGCTGTCCATATTTTTATATATATTGAAATTAAACATAAGGGACTAGACTAATATCACACTGAACAGTGAATAGTATTGCTAGATTTTACATCATAACGCTGCAGAATTAGCACTGGGTATCTCAGTGTCTCTTCTTCTTCACAGTATGTGTTCATTACATCATGCATTATATAATCTGTTCCCATAAACTGTTTAGAAATTCTACACATGTGTGAATCTTAGATGTATGACTATTCTTTCTGTATTACAGGGAAAAACAGATCAAAACAAGACAACAAAACAAATTCCTAGAAATACATGAAATGAAAAATCCATATAAAACCACAATAATAGGTGATCTACAACAGTTACTATGCTGTCTCTTGTTATTTTCAATATAATTGTCTACATTATCAGGCATAATATAATTGAACATAGCATTATATAGCAATTTTATAAAAACAACATTAGAGACATTGTAGGACTTCAAAAGCAGTTAATAATCAAACGAGAATTGGTGTCTTATTATATCTTATCGTCTTCAGAGTAGTTGCCTCTACCCTTAGACTTGATACTACCAAGCATACCAAATTTGAATAAAAACAGTCAAGACAAAACCGCAGTCTCACAAACCAGCTTCAAATAAGATCAGTCATAGTAAGACAATGTAAGTAATACAGGGCACCAATTTAAGTTAATAGGAAATTAAGGACAGCTACCATAATGTATCCTGCTATTTTTGGGATAGTTGTCTGTGCCCTCAAATCTAGTCTCAATAGACAGACTGGAATAGAATAAAATCAAACTAAACAGAGCTATAAGACTAATGCGGCTTTTAAATCCTGATACACTATTAACAATGTCCTCTGCCTTCCTTTTTTAGACATTTCCTCCCCTTTCCCTTTCTCACAGTGCTTTGTACATTTTGGGTCCCATTAACTCCTTTAGTTTTTAGATTAGGGGGCAACCCATTATCTATCAGAATGATGCTGAACCTTTTTACCCCTGAGCTTGATCTTGAGCTGTATTCCTTTACTTACTAAAACCTCAAGGCTTTCCTTCCTTATAGCTGAGTAGTTCTCCACTGCACAAAAGTGTCATAACTTTCCAACCTATCTGCAGCTGCTGGAAGAGTTGTCCCTATTTCTATCTGGTTCGCTGTCACATAGAGCATTATTTTCTCGACTTTGACTTTCAGTTAATTAACCCTCCTTCAAACTAAGTATATTTCCTATTTGGAACATCTCGATGGATCCTATCTCCTGATCTACTCTGCCTGTGTTTCTTTTTGTTAGTGTATCAAGGCCGGCCATCTATATTAGAGATTATAGCCCACCTTCTCTACCTCATCTCTCTTATTGTATTTTTCTGCTATTATTTGTTCACTTTTCTCCTTCATTCCACTGTCTCCCCTGTTCTTTAAATAGAAGAATTTTAAAAATTCTTCTATTTAAAATTTTTTGTTAACATTCCACTGTCTCTCTGCCACTGTTGCTAGAATCCTGGCATTTTCTTCTATCTCTCTTTAGAATGTCCTATTTTTTGTAGGGTTGGATTGGTGGTCACAAACTCCCTCATTTCCTCTTTATCATGGAAATATCTTGCTTCTCCATTAATTTTGAGAGAGTGTTTTTCAGGGCACATCAATCTTGGTTGGAGATTATTTTCTTGTTACTTCCTGGTTCCTTGTTATTTTTAAGAGGTTTTTTCTTTCACAATCATACATTTCAAATCCATCTTCAAAATTTGAAAGGCTAATGTTAGTTTCTGTCAAGGTATTTTGCCAGCTTTAAATAGGGTTTTTAATTTCCTGGTAATCTCTTTGGATCTGTTTCATGTATTCTAGATTTTGTTTATATTCTTCACCAAATATTTCTCTTCTTTTTCTGATTTTCTGATTTCTCTTCTTCTCCTTTCTTCCATCTATGTCTTCTTGAGAGGTGCTTAACATTTCTTTTATTAATCTTTTTATAGTTTGCCTCACTTGGATTAGAATTTTAATTTTAAGTTCATCTATGAGGTCATGAAGGTATTTTTTTTATGTCCACTGATGCTGTGGCCAATATTGCATGATTGCTGCCCGGATCTCTTCCACATTTAACTCTCCTGGACTTATTTTCCCAGGGTAAGCAACTGGAGGCTTTTTCTTATTTCTTTCTCTTGTCGTGTTTCTGGTTTCTTTCAGACAGGTGTATGCTGCAGGTCTCATTGCCCTTTCCATATTGCTTATGATTTTTCTAAAGCATGCTGGCTGTGTGCTTGCTGCTTACTCTGGTTTGCTATTATCTGAGGTGCACACAGGAACTGTGGGCTGACCCCTCTTCTCTGGGCCAGTCTACCGGCAAGTGCCTTCAGCACCTTAGTCTGTGCTGTGTGGATGTCACAGGTTTGGGACAGTTTCATCCCTGGCTATTGGATCCTGACAGGGATGTGACCCAGCCCAAGCAGATCTCATAAGTCCTCTCTGGGCCAGCAGCAGCTGACTGATGCCACTGCAGTTCCAGGTTCAGGCCTGTCCTGCTCAACTCCAATATGTCCTCCAGCTGGCCACACCCACCATGGGACCTAATTTCCAGCACTCACTATGAATTAATGCAGCTCTCCACTTTGGCTCAACTCCACACTGTGCCACGTCCTCCCACCAAGTTCTCCCAGACTCACCGACTCCCGATTTCCGTAGCTGCAGCTTCAGTGTGCCCATGAATCATCAGACTCCAAGGCACGCCCAGCACAGTGCAGGAACTGTCCAGTGAGCACGTCTGGTTCCAGCCTTTCATCCAAGTTATTCCTTCCTTTCTTTTTCTTTTTCCTCAGTTTCTTCCTGGGTTCTGAGAATCCTTCTCCATTCGTCTGGTCTTTTCCATGTTGTTAAATTCTAGCATCTGAGTTGTTTTTCCCAGAGAGGCTCTCTACCCTGTGAACTATCAAATCGCCACCTTCTTATGAATCCATTTGCACTTCTTTTGAGATGTGTCTAGCCTC